TCTCATACCCTCTTTCCCTATCACCAACCTCTCAAGAGGACTTTCGACTCGCTGTGTATTTTGAGTGCCCCTTTGCCGCACGGACACAATAAGCCTCATGCCTTCTCCGAGATTCGAACCCGGGCCCATCAGTATAGCAATCCAGCGTACGTAACCATTAGACTGGCTGGGAGAAGGTATATTAACCCAGCAAGACATTTATTATCCAAAAGACTTAAAAAAGATTTTTCAGTGCTCTTTGAGACATTTCTTTCAGAAGTTTGCAAAGTGTTAGTTCTCAAAGGTGCTTTTACATTTCACAAAGGTGCTTTTACAAAGGTGCTTTTCTCAAAGGTGCTTTTACAAAGGTGAATTTTACATTTCATGAGAGCTTAATTTTACCTTTCAAATTAAAACCATACCTTGCTTTAAAAAGTGATATTTTTATTTTATACCATTATTTCATATCAAACGTGCAGAATAACTCGGTAGTTTGATCTTCAGAGCAGTACCGTCTGTAACATATATACGGCTATATTTAGTGTGTGATCAAAGGAATATGGATAGTGTTACGAAATGTACAGGCACGGTGAGATGGCTTCCCCGCAAAGTAGTTTTAGGGTTGCCGATAAAAATGGCAACGGGAAAGGGGCAAGTTTGTTCATAATTTGGCGACAAACTTTGCGATATCCAATGGAACGAAGGAGAACCTTCGGTGAACGAATTTCTTACCGGTTTTAGCCCCAAACTGTTCTGGAACAGGGCACAATCCGAAAGCTATATAAAACCCCCTTGCTGGTCCTCAGTCAGGTCACTGTGTCTGCCTCGCCTAGCGAGCTTATAAAGTGTGTGTGTGCCGCTCGTCCTAGATCGATTGTTAGTTATTATCGAGGCCCTTGGTGTGCTTCGATCCTAGCGAGTCAATCCTGAGAGTTCGATCGAGTTTTGACACCCCGCAGCTTCGTTGTCGAAGGTGGGTATTGTTCGAGTGCAACCGAAAGGATGGTCCGTTAGTGTATCGTTTGTTATGCAGGTCGTCGGAGAGCGTGTTAGAGTTCACGGGAACGACGGAACGAAAGAGTCGGGAGCTGTGCTCCGTTGTGTCGTCGAAGTTGCATCGCGAGTTGGACTCGTGAGAGCCTCAAAGCAGTACGGTGGAGGTCCCCTGAACCGACCAAACAGAGTCCGGAAACCTGTACTCCGTAAAGCAGAGTCAGGTGCCCTTTTGCAGGGAAACTTTCCTCAACCGGGTATAGCCTGATAACCTGAAGGCTGTGTCGCTGATTGTTCCAGCCTGTTTATAGTAGATCTTCGACGACTGTAAAAAGTGTTATTGTAGCTGTCCTGATTAATACAGGCTAAATAAAGTGTGTTTCGATACTTCGTCAAGTAGTATAGACGCTATTCACTCCAAATCTACGAACCCCGTACAAACTGGTGTCAGAAGAGAAAAAGTAACAATATATAGTATGTATACGGTCATTTGCATATACATATCTACACGGTGGGAAAATTACAAGAATCAACTATGCAATCAGCACATTCGCTTGATATTGAACTTCCAGTATGCAGCGGTTCTTAGCGAGTTGGCCATTGATGGGAACCTAATAGTAATGACATATTCTGTGGATTGGATTTTCTCAGCCTGATTTGCCCCATGTACTCCTTTTACTGCTACTAGAAAATATCTCCTCCTCCTTTCCCAAACTCGAAAAATACATGTGTATATTTATTTAGATTTAAGTTATTTTTAAAGTGTTTTATAAATTAAGCAACAAAAAGTATAGAAAATTTTAAGAAATACCAAAATCTGAATAAAATTAGCTTTTGTATTCGTAAACCAAAAGCGATACTTAACAGCTAAATGGGCTGACCGAATTTTCCCCCTTGAAACGACGAAAGTTTAGAATCTCTGCTTGTGATTTTCACATGTTTCTGCTCGAATACTTCTCCGCTTTTTCAGGAGTGCAGTAGAAAGTGTTTTGTCTGCGATTCTGGGCATTCTGGCAAATGATATCTCAAATCATTCCATACATGCTCTTTAAAATTTACACTGGTCAGTTCCTTTCCGCAGCATCCATAACAAAAACAAAAACAAACAAAAAAAAATGGTGTTAATAGAAAAAGAGGATAAGAGTTGCAACCTGATTGTATTGAAACAGGAAGTTTCTCACATCAAATGTTACAACAAATGTGTTGTAGGATTCTGCATTCATATTCTGCTTTGTGATAAGGTCGCATAGAGGTTCTTTGTCTAGGATGAATGATTTCAGAATGCAATAGTACCTTTTTCAGTACATAGGTAAAATAGTGCTGCAATGAGGTGCCTTTTTTAATGAATCCGGTTGCTGCTTCAAAGGTCAATCCAAGGGATAAAGAGGTTAAAGAAATATTTTCATCAGGATCAGAATATAGACAAGACACCTTTGTTATGAACGAGTGAAGGAACCCCCCCCCCAGTAGTTCAGTGCAGATAACGACACAGTGGGATATAAAAGGTTTTTTCCTGAGAAAAGCGAGTACTTTTTTCCTGCTGCAGCTATGGGCATGTTGGCCCGCTAGAACTATAACTCCTCGTGTATAATGTTAATAGCAATACAGCATTTTCCTGTTAACAAAGTTTTGAAATTACGGGACTAAATTATCCAAATCCCACATAACATGATTTGCGATTGTTAAAGTTTTAATTATATTAAAATTAATGTTATTGATGTAACTTGAATTAGAAGTTTATTTAAACCCTGTATTAGAACACGGGGTTTGTGTAGCCACTATACCACAGCTTCAAAGAAGCCAGAAGGCCAATGGCAAACCATGAGAACCACGATCATGCCATAAAGATCCCTCCCCCAAAGTTAACTATCAAACTCTTTTGTGAACGGCGTTTACCTAACATTCTCCGCACCTGAGCAAAGCCGCTGGATTTTCAAACCTCGCAACCAGAATTCATATCGCATGATACTATTGTTCCAAGCTGTACTTGCATCTCACTTTAAACCATAGTAAGTAATCAAGATAATCTCTTCTGCTCGGATTTTCCAAATGTTCAATTTTCAAGCCATTTTCTCGTCTATCAATAAAATCCATGGCTCGATTCTTAACAACAATTCCATTGCTGATTTTAGTTCTTGGGGAATTTATAGCCAGGGCCGGATTAAGGGTGTCGTAGGCCCTAGGCACTCCAGCAGCGTAGGCCCCGAAATAATAAACATTTTTTAACTGAAATTGACCGCTAATATTAAGTAATAATTTTGTTGTAGATATAAATCCGAAAATGTGATGATGCGGTAAAATAACATTATTTTATTTTGGGATTTTAATGTTTTTATTTTTCATAGAGCCATTTTCAATAGCCATAATTCCAGAATTGAGTTTATCTGCAACAATGCAACTTTTTTATATCAAACCAGAATTCCAGGGTTTTAGTACATGAACATGACAAGACATTAGCCGCCGGGAAAACCTCTCGGACGGGCACATGCGTTTGACACAGTTGGCCACGTTTCCATGCCCACTACCAAACGCCTTGCGCGCCGATCGAGAGGTTTTCCCTGCTGCTAAGGTCTTTTGTTTTAGTAGCTCAGTTGTGTAATAAGTTAATATGTAAACACTACGATAGAGCGTGTATGCCTGTTGCTTGTATTTAATAATCACGCTCAACCCCAAGTCAATCTTTAGTTTAAAAACTGGAAGTTAAATTTATTATAAGTAAGGTAGTAGTAAAGGAAAGTTGTTTTTATACTCTACTTATTTCAACCTAGTTTTTGATTCTGGAATATTGCTTCATTCCATTCCATATAAATAATAGAATTTCATTTTTTTATCACTTCTTATTATTAGTATAATAGTCCGCCCGTAGAATGCAGCACAATGCAAGGAACTTTGAGTAGGCCTACTATGGGGTGGTTTGGCCATACTATTGTAAAAAATCTCCAGTAGTAGTCGTAGAATAGTTACAGTCCAAATCACCTTTGGAATAGCTTAATTTTAATCCCATACTCGTAAATCCGGGTTTCGTTTTTTTACAAGTTTAAAATGCATTACTTAACAAATTTAAAATAACTTTTTAGCTTTCTGATAGCATAATAAAAGCGACGGGCGCAAACTAAAATGTATATTTAAAAGGTGACGAGAAGAAGGAGAAAACAAGTTTAAATTTTAGTTTGTGCGTGCCCATCGCTTTTATTATGGTATATCAGAAAGTTAAAAAATTATTTTAAACTTTTAAGCGCAATTTATAAAAGCTTTTTTTAAATATTTTTTTTTTTTTAGCGAAAAATGTCTGATGGATATAAAAGAAAACACCAAAGTGGACATGAAAAACGCAAAAAGAAAGAGAAAGTGAGTGAGTCGCTTAGTAAAATTAAAGGTTCTTTATTGAAATATGTTAACATTTCTAAGGAGACAGAAGATAATGCAGATGCGGTAGATATTTCCTCGATCGAGGTTAGACCTAAAGAAGCTGAGGCTTGTTGGGACTCGCAAGAATGTTCAACCAATAAAACTGAGAATGTCACAGAAGACGAGGCTGACGGGGTTTACGAAATTTTAACGACGCTTCCAAGCAGGTGGTGCCTGAATCACTACCAACAACATCAGCCTCAAGTATTTTCAGTTCTGATCCAGCACGGTGGACAACCATAAGCGCAGATCTTATCGATTACTTCTCTCGTAATCACCCTGTGCAGAAATTGGATATAATTTAAGTTATACGCCCACTAAATTTGGCGAAATAATGAGATGTCCATCACAAGATTATTTTTTCAGAAAACTGAACAACAATGATATTAAAAAAAGGGACTGGTTGATATTTTCCGAATCTACTGGCAAGTTTTTTTTGTTATAAATGTATTTTGTTCAAATCGGACCTACCTGGAAATCCAAACCTGTGTAACCAATTCCTTACAGGCTTTAATGACTGGAAAAAACGCACATTCGAGAATTTCAAGTCATGAAGTGTCAAAAGAACATTTTGCATCTATTTTCTGCTTTAGTGAACTACCAACAAACTAGAAAAATTGATGAGACGTTTTGATATTGTCAAGGAAAAAGAAAGCACATATTGGACAAACGGTTTTTTAAGAAGAGTAGTGGAAGTAATTAAGTTTTTGGCCGAAAGGGGACTAGCGTTTAGAGGCGATAATGAAATACATGGTGATCCTAGTAATGGCAATTTTCTTGGGTGTATCGATCTCTTAGCCAAATTTGATCCGTTTCTAGAAGAACATGTAAGAAGATACGGTAATCCAGGCCGCGGAAAAGTATCATATTTATCCTCCACAACGTATGAAGAACTAATAATTTTACTGGGGTCAAAAGTATTGGAAAAAATAGTTACAGAAATCAAAGAAGCCAAGTATTATGGAATCACTGTGGATTCTACACCTGACGTTAGCCATACGGATCAACTCTCCATAGTTATTAGATATGTCTCAAAAACTGGAGATATATATGAAAGATTTTTGATGTTTGTTAAAATAGAAAAACATGATGCCAAGTATCTTTTTGACACTCTAATTTCAGTTTTAGAAAATCAGGGAATAGACCCAAAATTTTGCAGATGTCAGTCTTATGACAATGCGGCTAATATGAGCGGAGTGTATTCGGGAGTACAAACTAGATTTAGGGAAATCAACAGCGCAGCCACTTGGGTACCATGTGGAGCTCATAGTCTTAATCTAGTTGGCACAGCGGCGGCAGAAAGCTGCTTAGAAGCTGTAAAATTTTTTGAAATTTTGCAATCGCTCTACAATTTCTTTGCAGCGTCCCCTCAAAGATGGTCTAAACTAAGGTCTTTGGGAAGTAAAATTTCTGTAAAAAGACTTTCAGAGACCAGAATGGTCAGCACGTTATGAGGCTGTAAAAACATTATGTGCCCATTATGATGATATACGTGGTATTCTTACAAATATTTCAACTAGTGAAGGTATGAAACCTACAACAGTGATTGAGGCACAAACCTTAATCCATCAAATGAATACTTTTGGAGATGGTATTACTCACAGTTATTTGGGAAGATCTACTAAAACACGTCGATATTGTAAATAAATCTCTTCAAGAACCTGGCATCGAGTTTAACACGATGGTGCGACTTTACGACAGTTTAATTCATATATTTATCTCACTGCAGAACTGAGGACATGTATAATAGCTATTATCTTAAGGCAAAAGCCCTTGCACCAGATTCAGAATTTAAAGAATCCGAAACTAGAGTTCGTAAGAGAAAACGAAACGACAGTTCGATGAAGGGCCAGATGAGACTCCCTCTCGCAGTGCCAAAGATTCCTTTAAGATTAATGTTTTTTTTTATTGTTCTGGATGTGCTTTGCGCTGAAATGACAAAGAGAGCACTGCGTATACCAGCCTTTATGACACATTTAGTTTTCTTACGGATAATACACTGACCGAGGACATTATCAAGGTTAAGGCTCAAGCTCTGGTAAAAATGTATCCGTCTGACTTAGAAGAAAACTTTGTTGATGAGTATTTGATTTTTTCAAATTTTGTACCCCAAAACCACCTCTATAACGGATCTCATCAAATTACAAATAAAGGATAAACTTGTGTCAAGTTTCCCAAATGTTAATATTGCATTGCGCATATACCTTTCGATATTGGGTTCGAATGCAGAAGGAGAAAGATCATTCTCTCCAAGTTTGAAGCTTATAAAAAATTTTATGCGTTCAACTATGGGTCAAGAGAGAACTTCGTCACTGGGCCTTCTGTGTATTGAAAGTGATGTCGCTCGCGGCATTAATTTTGAAAATATAATACACGAAAATTCGCTGTGTCAAAATCCCGAAAAAGGAGTTATTTTAGGATCTACTTAGTAAACCAAACGTTTTGTATTCGTATTTTTTTGTGTATTTGTATTTACATATATTATTTTGACCTTCACTATATAATAATATAAAAATGTTTATAAGTTTTTTTTTTTTTTTTTGGGGTATTTTTATTTCAATATATTTTTTTTTCAAAGCCCTAAGACCTTTGGCCTTCGTAGGCCCTAGGCACGTGCCTACTGTGCCTAATTGGTAATCTGGCCCTGTTTATAGCACATCTTGTCAGTGTAATTTGAGATATATCGGGCAAACAAAAAGAGCGTTAAAGTTTCGCATCAAGGAATACGAATCTTATACCCGAAAAGGCAAAATTAACAAGTTTTCGACAGCTAATCATAGTTGGAAATTTAATCATAATTTTGATTTCGGATCTGCCAAAATTATCCAGAAAGCTTTTAAAGTTTCTTACATGGGCGAATCTGATTTTTTTGAAGCTTCTTACATTCACAAAGATCACAAAGGTTTTATCTTTAGTTAACGACTTTAATTCCAATCCAATGCTTTTTAACGCTTTTTTAAAAGCGAATTTTAATTTTAATTCTATTAAATTAATTTTTCAATTTTTGTTATTATTTCTGCCGACAGATGGCACTACCTTCTCATACGCTTTACACCTTTTGGGTATAAATACAATCCTTTTTCTCTTCGTTGCAGATTTCTTTGCCCCTGATGAAGAGGGATATGTACCTGTATGCCCATGAAATCGATAGAATCTTGAATGAAATCTAGCCATTTTATGCTGAGTAATGCTTGGCATTAGCTTCTATACTCGTTAAAACCCAAACTGCGCAGATGTCCATACACTGTTATTGAACGAACGCTATAATGAGAAATTCATCACGAATGTTTTCGGCTGATTACATACAGGTTTTTCCCCCACCGCTTTACAAAGCTATCTGCACCTGCTATTGTCAAACAATGTATTCATCCTCACCTTGACGCAAATATAACTCCTGAAGAACCACTTTCGCAACTGAATGTATCACCTTTAACATTGTCCAAACACCACAAACGGATTTTACTCACTAGGAGCAAACGACCATATTTCATTCAATTTCGATAAGCTAATGTTTTGCACCCATTTCGAATTGTAATAATAATAAATAGTAATGCTATAATATGTTTGCACAAAATTATTTTTTTTTTATTTCATTGGTTCATCAATGACAAATCTATTTCTTTTGGGGTATTCAGATATTATTGGTCACATAGCGCATTTATCAACAAATCTCATATTTCTCATCTGCACCTTGTAGATCTGTTAAACTTTTGGAAACGAGAAACATAACAGAAATCAAAGGAGTGCTCGCCGCATTCGAGACAAAGATTTTCATTTGATATCTGGAGTACACTAACTATTTACTCCACAAGAACACGCACAAGGAAATATAGTTTTAATCCAGAGATCAGAAACATAATAATTTTTCTACAATGACACCCGAGCTAAAATATGATGTAAGAGAACTCGGGGTCTCGCGCCTCTACCCTCTTACCTCTTAAGGGAAAAGTACAAAAAATTATCCCATTCCCCTCTTGTGTTCTCGAGTAATGCAAATGGTTAGCACATCCAGATACTAGCATTTAAAAAATCCGCGATACGAATCGCAGCAATAGCACAGCTGATTTTTTAATACATCTTATATATATTTTTAATATTTCTGTCTCGAAAATTTAGTCACTTTGGCAGAAACAATAAAAATATGTTTCACGCGGCTGGCACAATTCATCTATCTTTTGCAACTCGTGAGTATCAGAAAAGCCTCGCTGTCCTATATTTATACATAGATCATAACATAAAATATCTTGTTTTTTTAACAAACCTCAAATTTCTGCAGTCGATAAGCACGTAGAATAAGAAATTTGATGTCATTTACTTCTTTGTGATATTTCTTAAAAAAGGAGGTTACTTTTAGCTGTTCAGAAATTTTATTAGACGATAATTGTCACATAAGCTTAAAAATTTTGATGGCTTTTCTGTCACCTAAATCTTTTAACGAGGTTATGCTTGCTTGTAGGCATTTGTAATCCTACGAATAATCTTGGACTGTTTACAGATGGATTTTCCTCTAGACAGGGCAGAATTAACCATAAGGAAAATAAGCACATGTTTAGAGTATCCACGGGAAAGTGATACCAAAGATATTTCCCATTTATTCATGGAGAGTATTATTTTGAGGTCGCTGGTTAGACTGTATACTAAAGACAACGTTACAACAACAACAACAATTTTATTTCGTGGACTGTATCATAACTAAAAATCTAAATCGAAAATGATAAATTCCCGACCATACGGGATCCAAACGTATGCTACCTACGAGTTCGAATCTTAAACTACTAAAATTCGCAGAAACAATGCGCTGTACATAACTTGAAGTTGCGCAAACAATGCGCTGTACATAACTTATATTGCCGCGTAGGAGCAACAAGTATCATGTAAATTTATAAATAATGTAACTGATTTCAAAATGGAAAGAAAAAGATATTTTGTAAAGATAATTACTCTTTTATATATTATTATTTATTTATTTATTTATTTATTACAAATTTATCCAATGAGGATCGCTTCGGGGAGGAGTCACACAAAGGAATGAGCTAGCCCCTTTCATTTAACCCTGTACCCTATGACGTTGCTGTCGCTCAAAATTTTTGAGTGATGCCATCAGACGATTTGTTTCATCTTACGTAAATGATTTCTGTAAATGTGTGAGTATACTGCAGTTTAAACGCGTTTAGTTTTAAATATTTTTAGAGTGGAAAACTTTAAAAGTTCTTTTGTCACGAATCGAGCAATGCGTATTGAAACTGCTAACTGGAAGTGCTAATCAAATGCTATAAAAGCACACAGGAGAAGATTTTTCAGGAGAAATTGAAGGTACTTGTAGAACATTTTCAAGATATATGTGAAAGATCTGGCAATAAACCTTTGCAACTATGTCTAATTTAAGAAAAGTAAAGAAATTCGGCTTACTACAGTTTGAAAGACATTACAACAGGCTTCGAATGCTTAATAACGCACATCTCTGGCTTTGATTGATTGACTTTTGGAGTCCCAGTATTGAAGAGGCTTCGATAAGTCAATATCCAAAGGAGTTTCGTTCAGATCGAAAGACCTAGGTCTTCGACTATAGTCAGAGAAACTTTTTACAGTAATCTTATAGAACCCTTGAATGATTAGAAGCGATGTTCTTTAATATTCTATTTATATTAAGATATTTGGTGCTTGAAATAAAGAAAGGTAGGTTAAAATGGCAACTAATTTTCTAAGATTAAGCAGAAACTAAAAGAGAGATATGGAGAATTGCTTTTAATATCTAGCGGTCAAAGCAGTCGATATTCTACCTCACTTAAAAAAGGGACTCCGAAGAGAATGAGAAACATTTGGTAAAATCCATATGGGCGTCGAGTTATCGTCAACCGCATGCCAGTTTGCTGGGTTTATTTGATTATAGCAAAGCACGCGAGGGAAGCTTTCGTGGAGGACTGGTCGCGTAGAATTACCTCGTTATACAAGAGGAAACACGTTACACATGGGATGCTCCACGTTACATATGAGGAAACGCTCATGCAGCCAACCCGCTACCCCAGAATTGAATCCAGGTCGAACTACCAGTGTTCAACTCAGGCGTTGGTTTAGACGCCTTGTCAGTTTAGACCCCACTGTAAAGATTACTATAGTCGAAAATATAAACTTCTGGGTCATTTCCGGCCGCCCGGATTGCCTCGTAAAGGCTTATTGCTTCTATGGAGAAGCGACAGCTGCAGAATAGGGCTCGAGGGGAATAATTCCCTCCCCCCATACACATACACACACTAATGTATCCATCCGTTCGTTTTGTTTCGAACTTAAATATTAGTAAATTAAAAAAAAAAAAAAAAAATACGAAATGGCATGCAGAACAAATTTCCGAATTTAATTGAAAATTTAGTTTAAAAAAAGAAAAACTTTTCGCAGCGGTATGTCAGAAATTTAATTAATCAAATAAAAAATCCCGTGGTAGTCTTGGAATAAAATTTTTTAGGAGAAATATATAGTAGAACAATATAAAAAATAGTTTGATGATCATTTGAAGGTTTAAGAAGCTATGGCTATAACATGTCTTTCAACTGCCTCCCCCTCCCCAGTTCTAAGCTATATTTTTTTGGCTGACAATTTCAGAGTAATGCGCAAATGGGGTATGGTGTGCGCTTTCGAAAATCATTTCTAATACTCGAAAGCGGTATCACAGCTACTAAAATCCTATAGAGAATGCACCTACAGTGGTTTAGGACGAAGTTTATATTACAATATCGAAAATTGAAGAAAACAACTTTCTTACTTCTTAACCTTTAACACTTGGTATATCCATACAACTTCTAGATTTCTTCCTTGAACTTTTCTTTTGGAATATTGTTTAAGTCTCTGGTTATTCTTAAAACTCTCGAATTCTGTGACTTTTTAAATCAGACTTCATTTTAGGAAAGAAAAAGTAATCTGTAAGTGCTAAATCTGGTAAAAAAGGTGTGGCGCTGAGAATTATAATAATCTTCTTTGCTAGGATCTGCTTGACGAAAATGCAATTGTGTGATGGGGCATCTTCTTGCAGCAGAAACCAGTTATTCGATTGAGCATTTTTAAAGCGATCTTTCTGAATTCTCTTCAGAAGACTGTCTTAAATATGGAGTTCACTATTTCTTTCCCAGGATCAAACTCTCTGTGAATTATTCCTCTTTAGTCAAGAACTTGCTGTTTTTCCGCATTAAAGCAGAACTTTATTCCTATTCCTTTCGAATCCATAACAGCAGATGTTCACGTGATCAACGCAATCAATTAATTGTATCTGAATTTCTATCTGTAAGCAGACGATATTTTAGAAAAAGCAAGTTGAGATGGCATAGTCATAAATCTGCCAGTCATCGTTTGATAGGTTTTCTGGAATTTGTTTAATAAATTCATTCTAAAACAAGCTGTGTGTGCTTTCTTATTTCTTCTATAAGGAAGGTATTTTTCATACAAACAAATATAGCAAAATGCAGCAGAAGGTAGTGTATAGTTCCTGAAACCCTTATCAGACCTAAGGACGCAAAACACAATAAGAAGATTTTCCGAGAACGGCGTTCTTCTCAGCAGTGTATTGAACAGAAGCAAAACCTTCCCTGGTTGGTTGATTTATACGAGACAGAACATTCTACGCCCCTCTCAACTGGTATAGTGGTTAGCTCCGGTGATTGCCGGGCCGAAGGCCCCGGGTCCAATTCCGAAGAAGGCATGGATGTGTAGTGTATAGTGTATAGGTGTATAGTGTCGGTGCGGCATGTCGGTACTCTAAATATGCAGCGAGCCGAAAGTCCTCTCGTGTGGTTTGGTGGAAGGGAAGAGGGATGGGAGAATCTGAGACTCAAGGCCAGAGAGTCTCAGACTCAAGGCTGTTGCCAACGGCAGGCGTATTCTAGCGCTTCTTGCCACTAGGTACTTCGTGGGCTTGGGCTGACATCGTCAGACAAGTGAGCATAAGCACCACCAACAACACATTCTACGCAATTTTTCCCCAGCATCGAAACATATCAGTAAAACCTAGTCGAAACATAGTCGTAAAACTGATCGCTGAATGCATTGTCTTCCCCAGTGTTATGAATAGCAATCTTGCCATACAAACTATGTTTAAAAGCAACGCACTTCTTGGAGAAGTTTCTTATTGTATTTCGCGGCCCTAGGTCTAATATG